CAGTAGGCTTCTTCAGTCAAGTACAGAAAAGTTGATAGAAGCAGAAGATACTTGAAGACGATGTAATCAGTCCATCACCCTTAAAGTTTTGAGGTGGTCAGTCCCTCAGTCTGGAGAAGAGCATTGTTCCATAGTATGAAACAATATGGAGAAGAAGTGACAGGATGGAGCTTTTTATAGCGCCAAGAGGTGAGACGTAGGCCACTAGGAGAGGTAAGAACTCAGATGTTGAGAAGTCAGGTCCCTCTCAAATCCAGCCCCTCTCACTAGTGGAAGTTGTCGAAGTTGATTGCAGGTCTGTACCAAGATACCCTTGTGTTGCAGTGTCTGACAGATTGACATTAAAATGGTATAAAAACCGACAGGTTGTTAGCGCCTCTTGGCGCTATAAAAAGCTCCATCCTGTCACTTCTTCTCCATATTGTTTCATACTATGGAACAATGCTCTTCTCCAGACTGAGGGACTGACCACCTCAAAACTTTAAGGGTGATGGACTGATTACATCGTCTTCAAGTATCTTCTGCTTCTATCAACTTTTCTGTACTTGACTGAAGAAGCCTACTGTGTAGGCGAAACGTTTCATAATAAAGATACCTAACTGTTGCATATGTGTCTTACCTAACACCTGTCGGTATTTTATACCATTTTAATGTTCAATCTGTCAGACACTGCAACACAAGGGTATCTTGGTACAGACCTGCAATCAACTTCGACAACTTCCACTAGTGAGAGGGGCTGGATTTGAGAGGGACCTGACTTCTCAACATCTGAGTTCTTACCTCTCCTAGTGGCCTACGTCTCACCTCTTGGCGCTATAAAAAGCTCCATCCTGTCACTTCTTCTCCATATTGTTTCATACTATGGAACAATGCTCTTCTCCAGACTGAGGGACTGACCACCTCAAAACTTTAAGGGTGATGGACTGATTACATCGTCTTCAAGTATCTTCTGCTTCTATCAACTTTTCTGTACTTGACTGAAGAAGCCTACTGTGTAGGCGAAACGTTTCATATAAAGATACCTAACTGTTGCATATGTGTCTTACCTAACAACCTGTCGGTATTTTATACATTTTAATGTTCAATCTGTCAGACACTGCAACACAAGGGTATCTTGGTACAGACCTGCAATCAACTTCGACAACTTCCACTAGTGAGAGGGGCTGGATTTGAGAGGGACCTGACTTCTCAACATCTGAGTTCTTACCTCTCCTAGTGGCCTACGTCTCACCTCTTGGCGCTATAAAAAGCTCCATCCTGTCACTTCTTCTCCATATTGTTTCATACTATGGAACAATGCTCTTCTCCAGACTGAGGGACTGACCACCTCAAAACTTTAAGGGTGATGGACTGATTACATCGTCTTCAAGTATCTTCTGCTTCTATCAACTTTTCTGTACTTGACTGAAGAAGCCTACTGTGTGGCGAAACGTTTCATAATAAAGATACCTAACTGTTGCATATGTGTCTTACCTAACAACCTGTCGGTATTTTATACCATTTTAATGTTCAATCTGTCAGACACTGCAACACAAGGGTATCTTGGTACAGACCTGCAATCAACTTCGACAACTTCCACTAGTGAGAGGGGCTGGATTTGAGAGGGACCTGACTTCTCAACATCTGAGTTCTTACCTCTCCTAGTGGCCTACGTCTCACCTCTTGGCGCTATAAAAAGCTCCATCCTGTCACTTCTTCTCCATATTGTTTCATACTATGGAACAATGCCTTCTCCAGACTGAGGACTGACCACCTCAAAACGGGTGACTTCTTGATACGATCCAGGATTGTTTTTTAAAACAGTTTGTGACAGAGCCAACTAGGGAAATAACCTCCTTGACTTGGTTCTTGCCAGTAGGGAAACACTAATTAATAATCTTGAGGTAAATGATGAGCTTTGGGGAGAGTGATCACAAATCACTCAGTTTTAACATATCATGGAATTCCCCTAATAATGGCAATCAAGTCTCCGTCCCTGACTTTCGCTTGGCTGATTTCATAGGACTGAAAAATTACTTAGGTGGGCTGAACTGAATGACCTGACTAGGGGTCAGGTAGGTGGTGATGGTTGCCGATATGATGCTTTCCAGGGCATAGTTCTAGCTGCTCAGTCAAATATGTTCCAATAGGGAAATCAGATCAAACAAAAATGATCCTAAATGGATGAACAATAGATTAAAATATCTGATTGGTCAAAAAGAGAGGCATATATAGGCAAATCAAAGAAGGAGAGGGGCAATTAAGAAATCGATATATTCAGTTAAAGAGAGAACTAAAAAAGGGAATTAGAAAAGCAAAAAGAGATTATGAGGTTAAAGTTGCAAGAGAATCGAAGACTAACCCAAAAGGATTCTTTCAGGTATACAGAAGTAAGATCAGGGACAAGATAGGCCCACTCAAAAGTTCCTCGGTCAGCTCACTGACAGTGATAAGGAAATGTGTAGATTTTTAACACATACTTCCTCTCAGTTTTTACACAGGAGGATACCAGTGATATTCCAGTAATGATAAATTATGTAGAACAGGACGATAATAAACTGTGCACTATTAGGGTCACAAGTGACATGGTCCTTAGGCAAATAGATAAATTAAAACCTAACAAATCCCCAGGCCCTGATGAACTGTATGCAAGGGTTCTAAAGGAATGTTAAAGAGGAGCTTAGCACACCTTTGGCTAATCTTTTCAACATATCACTACAAACTGGCATGGTGCCAGATAAGTGGAAAATGGCAAATGTGATACCTATTTTCAAAACAGGTGACAGGTCCTTAGCTTCGAACTATAGACCAATAAGCCTAACCTCCATAGTGGGAAAATTTATGGAATCAATAATTGCCGAGGCAGTTCGTAGCCACCTTGAAAAGCATAAATTAATCAACGAATCTCAGCATGGTTTTTACAAAGGGACGTTCCTGCCTTACGAATTATTAACTTTTTTCACTAAGGTATTTGAGGAGGTTGATCATGGTAACGAATGATATTGTGTATATGGACTTCAGTAAGGCTTTTGACAGGGTCCCACATCAGAGACTATTGAGGAAAATTAAAGCACATGGAATAGGAGGAGAAATTTTTTCCTGGATAGAGGCATGGTTGACAAATAGGCAGCAGAGAGTTTGCATAAATGGGGAGAAATCAGAGTGGGGAAGCGTCACGAGCGGTGTTCCACAGGGGTCAGTGTTGGGCCCCTGCTGTTCACAATCTACATAAACGACATAGATGAGGGCATAAAGAGCGACATCGGCAAGTTTGCCGATGACACCAAAATAGGCCGTCGAATTCATTCTGACGAGGACATTCGAGCACTCCAGGAAGATTTGAATAGACTGATGCAGTGGTCGGAGAAGTGGCAGATGCAGTTTAATATAGACAAATGCAAAGTTCTAAATGTTGGACAGGACAATAACCATGCCACATATAAACTAAATAATGTAGATCTTAATATTACGGATTGCGAAAAAGATTTAGGAGTTCTGGTTAGCAGTAATCTGAAACCAAGACAACAGTGCATAAGTGTTCGCAATAAAGCTAATAGAATCCTTGGCTTCATATCAAGAAGCATAAAAATAGGAGTCCTCAGGTTGTTCTTCAACTCTATACATCCTTGGTTAGGCCTCATTTAGATTATGCTGCACAGTTTTGGTCACCGTATTACAGAATGGATATAAATTCTCTGGAAAATGTACAAAGGAGGATGACAAAGATGATCCCATGTATCAGAAACCTTCCTATGAGGATAGACTAAGGGCCCTGAAACTGCACTCTCTAGAAAGACGTATAGAATTAGGGGGGATATGATGAGGTTTATAAGTGGAAGACAGGAATAAATAAAGGGGATGTAAATAGTGTGCTGATAATATCTAGCCTAGACAGGACTCGCAGCAATGGTTTTAAGTTGGAAAAATTCAGATTCAGGAGGGATATAGGAAAGTACTGGTTTGGTAATAGAGTTGTGGATGAGTGGAACAAACTCCCAAGTACCGTTATAGAGGCCAGAACGTTGTGTAGCTTTAAAAATAGTTGGATAAATACATGAGTAGATGTGGGTGGGTGTGAGTTAGACCTGATAGCTTGTGCTAACGGGTCGGTTGCCGTGTTCCTCCCTTGAGTCAATGTGACCTGACTGACTAGGTTGGGTGCATTGGCTAAGCCGGTAGGGACTTGGACCTGCCTCGCATGGGCCAGTAGGCCTTCTGCAGTGTTCCTTCGTTCTTATGTTCTTATGTTCTTAAAACTTTAAGGGTGATGGACTGATTACATCGTCTTCAAGTATCTTCTGCTTCTATCAACTTTTCTGTACTTGACTGAAGAAGCCTACTGTGTAGGCGAAACGTTTCATAATAAAGATACCTAACTGTTGCATATGTGTCTTACCTAACAACCTGTCGGTATTTTATACCATTTTAATGTTCCATCACGATTGTGTTTCAAGCATACTTGCAGTGCTTAGTTATTATTAATTAACACGTCGGCAGTTTCCACCACGGCAGGGTGGCCCGAAAAAGAAAACTTTCATCATTCACTCCATCATTGTCTTGCCAGGGGCGTGCTTATACTACAGTTATAAATCTGCAACATTAACACCCCTCCTTCAGAGGGGTGTTAATATTGCTTAGTTATGATTATAATAATAATCAAGCATACTCTGTACCCAGGACAACCCACTGTAAGTACATATTTAGTTATGCAATAGTAACTTCCTCCCCCCACTGAATTTACAAGTTAAGACGAGGTACCCGACCTTAACTTACTTGGAAATCCCAGCACTAAGGTGCACTGCCACCACCCCTTTACCCTATGACACCAGTAAACAGGTACCCCAGGCAGGGCTTTCAAGAGAAATTTTGCAAGGTGGAACAAGATTGTTTTGGGCGAGGCTGAAGCTTCTCTCAAAAGGCCGGGCCACCTCTTGGAAAACGCCTGGGCCGGGCGCTTATACCGGCGAATCTACAACAATTCTCTCAAAATTGAGAATTTGCAAGTTTAATAAAACCACTGGTAAAGTTTCATAAATGCTTTATTTTCTGAGCAGGAGAATGACCAGATAACATATACTTCATAGATTTTGAAAACTTTTGTTGACCTATAACTATACAAGTGCCTAATTTTTTATTTATTAAACGTTTAATATGTTCTTTAAAAGTAAAATAAATTCTTAAAAGTTTAATATTACTAGACTGCTTAGTGAAATGAGCTTTCCTGGCTTTTTTGTCTGCAAAATTTATGATAACACTATCAAAATCAGTTTCTCTGGTAATGTTTGATTCAATACTCAGTCTTACTAAACCAGTAAGTTGGGTTGGACACAGTTAACCTTTAAAAGTTTTGGGTATGTTGAGTTGGGCAAAATTTTTTCTGCTGACGCTACTGTAGCTGGAATTGTCAACAATATTCTCAAACTAACACAAACATTTGGAAATATCTCACAAAGTTTGTAGTCTGTTAATATATTTAGCAGTTCTAAAGCTTTCACTTCTGGTTTTCCACAATTTGCTTTATGTACTTAATGATAAATGTTGCATTTCTGCTGCAAAATCGTCATTAATGTGCCGGCTTACCCCACCCCTTTCTCTCATAGGCCCTGACCCCAGGTACTTATTTAATGCTAAAGGAAAAAGTACAATCAGTTTACAAGTTTTTTTCCATAGGTTCCGTTCACTTGGGATTCAACCTAGTGAGGTGTAGTCATTCCCACGGGACTATGAGTACTCGGTATTCCTTACACATATGTGGTATTTCCTCACCGTAGCTCATCCAAGTCTACCTTGCAGCCGCTTGCTTTGGCTTAACTAAGCTGGCAGATGGTCGAATTGTTAGGTTTAAAGCCTATCAACCATAAGAGGGATCAGCAAGACTACACTGCTGATCTAACTGATGTACTGACAACAATACAAAGACACGCTGTAAGCAAGTTTTTATACGGACGTTTCACTAGTTGCGCAGCGTGTCTTCAAGGCTGTTTCACTGCTACATTGCCAATCAAGAATGTTTTTAATCCCCTAAAATATTGATTAGTCATATTTCAGTTCATATACAATGAGAGATACAGACCTTTTGGAGCGCATTCCTTTTCTGACATGTCTAGTAAAATTAGGCACATAAGCAATTTCTTCTTAAAATATATTTGATACAATTTAATTATAAAACATCTGTATTAAAAGCTATACATTTAGTAAAAGGAATATTTACATACAAATAATTATCTGTTTAATGAAGCAAGGCCTTGACATACAATTTACAGTAATTTGTGACGTACATACATCACTTCACTTCACTTCTTGACCAGAGCTTTGGTAAGATGGGTTTCCAAGGAAGAAGGATGGGTAAGGATAGAAATATTGGAAAAGGATGAGAGAGGGGGAGAGAGGTAGGATATAAAAGGTAAGTGGCCCAACCACTTTGGTGTAATTTAAAAAGTGTATGTGGAATAATAAAATATTCTTGAAGGGGTATAATACTAACCCATCAGAGTCACATAGATATAACAGATATATAAGTACATGAATTGGTAGTAAATATACAAGTTGCAACTGCCTTTTTTTTGCGATTGCACAACGGATATTTAAGCGACAATGAAGGCAATAATTTCCTGGCCAGTTCATAAAGAATTACTTTTCACATCAGCTTCTTACAAGGTGGTGTCCCGCCATAGTAAATGTAGCATAATTTTAACAGTAGAATGTTGTACAAGATATCTCCCTAATTGGGGGCGATGATTTTCTTAGTAAACATAGAAGGGTTCTGGTGTTACCCAATCATCTTCATCTGCAAGGAGGTTGCTCAGTATCATTGGTCGATGGTAATCATCTTTATGGATAAAACGACGGACCCTCTGTGGGAGAGTCATTCTTTGAGTCCTGTGAGGAGGAGTATTGATGATATAATCCGTGGTATTTTCAATTTGTAGAGGATGTTCTCTATCTGGCATGTAGAGTTCTTGCATTGCATAGAGTTGTTTCTTTTTCAGGGTGTCGAGGCGTACATTTAAGGCAGTAATATCTAGTTGTACGTGTAAATCTGCCATTTTAACTCTGTCTCTCCTCCTGGTACCCGCAATGAAGCGAAGAGCTCTATTCTGGACCCGTTGCAACCGTAGCATGTTGGTCTTTGTTGTTAATGACATTGGGACACGGGTATTCGAGTATAGGTCTTATTATCATTTTATACAGATGTTTTTTGACATGTGGAGGGGCTTGATTGAATCTAAAGAGACTGCTAAGACCGGCTTTGGCTATGTTGATCTTTTTATTTACATGAGATGTTGAGTGGAGCAGCCTGTCTATTTCATATCCCAAGATCTTGTTAGGGTTTCTAATGGCTACAGGTGTACCTCTGATGGAGATACCCCCTTTATCTTCGATGGTTGATGCAAAACATCCTATCGTGCTAACAAGGACTTTGTCAGGGTTAGTTGTAATTCTCCATTTCTTTTCCCAATTAGATTTTCGACGAAGTTCTATATTCATTTCTTCTATGACTCTCTCATACTTGTATTTTCCTGTTACCGGAGTTGATGAGACGACATGGATAACATCATCTGCAAACTGCGTTATAATTGTATCATTAAACTCTGGTTGAGGAAGGTCATTCACATAAATGTTGAAGAGAATTGGACTAAGACAAGAATCTTGTGCATACATCACTGCTATTAGAATATTAAGTCGAATCTCCCTTGCTGTGGCGTGGTATAATACCTGCTTCTACCATCTCGTCAAACATGTCTAGGAACCTGGGTTTGAGAAGACCGTCTTCTCTGCTGATCATCTTCAATAAGACTTCCTGCCGCTGTTTAGCGAACTCCTCCATCTTGTCGTCCGTTATACCCTCGAAATCCGGGGCGTCTTCGACCTCGCTCAAGATGATGGGTACTACGAACATGCCCGCAATACACCCGTATTCCATTTTGCGGCGGTACTCCTGACGCAGCTCTTCAAGGGTGAATGGAACCGGAGTGTTCGCAGCTCTTAGGACTTCGCAGAAGGAGGTGTAATACACACCAAGGAAGAGCTCTACGTTCGGAGAGCGGTCAGGGCCGTTGAAGCTGGAGTACAAGAAGTAGTTGAGGTCGACGGCGGGGGACACTCGACGCATGCCTTGTAGGTCCACCAGCATCACTTCTACGGGATCTCCGGCAGCGTTGTATCTGTTTGAGGTTGTGGGTAAGGTTAAGTTGTTTCTCAAAAGATTAAAGCTTGAGGTAAAGAGTGAAAAGATACAGTGCTGGTACTACTAGGCACAATGAAAGGGAGAATAACATCATTAATAATAATAATTATTATTATTATTATATAATTGAAAAGTAAAAATGTATGTTGCTATGGTAATTTAAAATATGAGACACAAATGAGTACAGTGTTATGTACAGATATAGGCCGGGTCACCATCTGGGAAAGACCCGGGTCGGGACAGTACCGGCGAATCTAGAAGTAGTATAGACAAATATTATAAGATTGTTAAACGGTTGACTTATTATTAGCAGATTAAACTTTGGGAGAAAATATGTATTGGCAGGCGATGCAACCTACCCCCAGTGAAAAGTAGGGGCGTCACTGGTACACTAAGAGAAAACGCAGTAAGTGTCCGGGGCCCAAGACTGTTCAACAGCCTCCCACCAGCAATAAGGGGCATAACGGGAAGACTCCTGGTTGTCTTCAAGAGGGAGCTGGACAGATACCTAAAGACGGTGCCGGATCAGCCGGGCTCTGGTTCGTACGTTGGTTTGCGTGCGGCCAGCAGTAACAGCCTCGTTGATCAGGCCCTGATCCACCGGGAGGCCTGGTCGTGGACCGGGTCGCGGGGGCGCTGATCCCCGGAATACCCTCCAGGTAGACTCCAGGTAGCATTAATGAGGATAAAATTAATACAAGTGAACCCTAAGAACATTAGTTTATAAATGTTCTGTGTAAATTTTTTTTTGTATATCCCCCAGTTTCAGCACAAACTAATATATCTATTATATTCAATGGGAACAGTAAACCCGTAGGGTGTTACCCAACACCTGGAGAACGGGAGATAATCAGGCTGTGATCGATGTGGGTCAGTGGACTACCAGCAGCAACAGTCTGGTTGACCAGGCTAGCACCAGAGGAGCCTAGCCCAAGGACGGGCTCATCAGATATAAGGTATAGGATATCGAGGAAGAGGGCAAATTTTTCAAAATTTAGTCGAGATGAGCAGATATTTGGAGTGGATCATCAGAGTTTGGGTCTAAGAAAAACGAGGTGAATCTGAAATTTATGAGGGGAAAATGGTGAGTGGTGGGACTGGGAAGCA